TGTGTGTGTGTGTGTGTGAGTTACTCACATCCTGGTTGTACTCCAAGAAGACATGGAAGTTGAGGTCCTTCCTGAGGACAGGATGAGCCGCCACGCGACACAGGAAGACCTCGTGCATTGCGACAGTCTTCTTGAAGATGGCCAGGTACTCTCTGAGTGAAAACACACAGCCGTCAGTGTGGTGCTTTTATCTTAGTTAGTAACTTAGGCTTCATCCATGCTGCATTTTGGCTCCATATCAGTTTTAATCCCTGTCAATACCAACACGTGTTAAAACCTGACCAGTCGCTGGTCATCGCTGAATTTCCACACAGACACGGACACTGCATGTACAGGTGAACACAGAATATCTCATCTCCTACATGGAAACTGCTGCATCATTAAAATACAAGTAACTGAACAGCAGGGTCGTTGACTGTTTCTTCTCTAGTAGCTGAGGCTGGTGCTGGGTGAAGGAGGTCATGTGACAGGAGACCAATCAGGGAAGGCTACGATGTTTTTCAAACTAAAACTGGACCAGCAGCATTTACAAACTTCTCTGTTTCAGTGTCTCGACTATCTGGAGTCGTGTGGCCTTAGTTAGTTCCAGTTAACTCACGCCTCCAGCTCCTGCTTCATCTTGGTGAACTCCTCCTTGGTCATGGATCCTTCTCCCTCCCCGAGCTTCTGCAGCTTCTCTCTGGACGCATCAAAGTCTGGTCTGGGGGGGGCAGGGGGGATCTACAGCAACATCAACAAGATTCAGACAGGAAACAAACACACGGCTTCGTATCGTTGGTCATATTTTGTGTTTTCATGGTTCTGTTATGGATTCTGTTCCCAGTCTGTAAAACACCCAGAGACACTAAGAGGTTTTCTAAAGCTGCCAGACAGAAGGTCTGAATGTGAGAACACAAACGTCCGGGTGAGCGGCTCCAGATGTTCTGCTAACAACTCCGGAAATGTCAGAACGAGCCGATGTTAGAACACAGCAGGAGATCGTCCACTGGGTTCACTCAGAATAATCAGAAATATTTGTTTCCCAAAACTCAACTTGACTTGGAGTCATCACTTATAAAGGTTATTGGGTTTTTATTGTTTGGACGATTTCGATAACAAGACAAAAAATCACATGACAAATAAAACCTGATCCAACTCCAATAATCTCACACAATTAAATACAGTAAAATAATCTATTATTGATCATCTGAAAAACCTATTTACAAACCAATGAATGTAATTTAACTGAACAGAAGCTTTAATGTGAACATGTCAGTTGTGTCTCTTCAGTTTGTTATAATGTGAATATTACAAAGAGGAGGAATTAATACAACATGTTGTTCACAGCCTCCATCTTGTTATCACCACGCTCACAAAGTCTGAACAACGACTTCACAGCAAATTGAAAATTCTGAGGAGCAACAGGTCCAACAACAGCTGAGGCCTAATCTGAGCCGACTCTTTATTCACAACTTCAGTTACTGACCAACATGAAAGAGTCAAACTTGTTGCCGTGTTATTTCAAACCACTGGCTGAGAGTGAGCGTGATGTCAACAGTAAAAATCTGTTCAGTGTGAAAATGAAGAAACGTCTATCTGAGCTCAACCAGCGGCTCTGTGCTCTCACTGTGTCTCCATCTTGTCGCACCACGTTTGTGTGTGTGCTGTGTTTCTTACGATGTATCCTGCGTAGTCTTCATTCTCCACAAACGAGTCGTGCAGCCAGATGAACTCCTCGTGCTGTCGAACCACTGAGAACTCGTTCTGCTTGAAGTTAGGGAGCGTGCTCTGTGCAAACAAAACGTATGTCACCCTGTCAGATCAGACCTGATCAGGTGTGTGAGTGTGTGTGTGTTTGTGTTTGTGTTTGTGTAAGTGTGTGTGTAAGTGTGTGTCTGTGTGTGTAAGTGTGTGTCTGTGTGTGTGTGTCTGTGTGTGGAGATAAAAGCTGAATAATGCTGCTCAGTATAATTTAGTGGGCGGGGCTCCTCATAAAACCCCTATGTTCAGACCCCGCCCCCTCACCTTGGTGTGCACGGTGAACTTGACCTTGTCTCTCTCACTCAGGGCGTCGGAGATGTCGACCTGCAGCGTGGCGTCCGTCTGCAGATCCACGTTCACCGCCCGCGGCTGCAGGAGAACAGACACATGTCCCATAATGCACCACAGCCTCTGATCAGCAGACACTCAGGTGGTTCACATCAACTGAGGGACAGTCAGCTGACACTAACTATTCAATGACCTGTCACATGATCAACATCATGAGAATCACATTGAGACACGTGGAGAGAAGTTCCAGCTCCAGATGTTGAAGTTACACGTTTGGTGAAGCGGTCTGAATGCATGGTGACGTCCTGGAGCGTATCTTCACCTATTGTGAAAAGAAGTGAACGACCGATGGTCCCTGACTGAGCAATATCAAAATATAATATAAACCATCATGCATTGCACTCGAGGCTGTGACAGGAACTAAAATGGCGGAAAAACGTCTCGGCCTTCTCTCGCTGGAGATTCTTCTCCTGATCAAAAATATCTGAATTATCGTGAGGATTATTTTTACATTTAAAAACATCTCTAATATCTGACTCATTTCTTTTTCTGACGGCAGGAGACAGACGAGGTGATGACAGACGAGGTGACGACAGACGAGGTGATGACAGACGAGGTGATGACAGACGAGGTGATGACATCAGAGCTCAAACTGTTCTTTCAATCTGCTTTGATCTAAAAGTATCAAACATTTTTTCCACAAGTCGACGTAGTTTCAAGCTCGATGATGTAATCATCAGTGTTTGGAGTAGTTCTTCTTATGCTGATCCGTCATGACATCATCAGTTTGATTCAGTGACCTCACACTGTATCGTTAACAATCAATCTATTTATTGATCTATGGGGGGGGCTGATTGAGAGAGAGACAGAGAGAGAGAGAGCGAGAGGGAGACAGACAGAGAGAGAGAGGGAGACAGATAGAGAGAGAGAGA